CTGGCGAGGTTGTGGAGAAACTGGAACCTTTATTCACTGTTGGTGAGAGGGTAAAATGGTGCAACCACTGTGGAAGGCAGTATGGCACTTTCTCAAAAAGATGCAAATAGAAATACCATTTGACCCAGCAAATCCACTACTGGCAATTTACCGTAAAGAAACCATAACTGATATCCAAGAAGATATATGCACACTCATGTTTATCATGGCTTTGTTCACAATAGCAAGGAGTTGGAAACAACCTAAGTGCCCATCAACAAATGAATGGACAGAGAGGCTCTGGTATATTCACACAAGGAATACTATGCAGCATTGAAAAACAAGGAACTCATGAAATAAGCAAAATGGATGCCCCTGGAGGGTATTATGCCGAGTAAGATATCTCAGTCACAAAAGGACAAATACTGCACAGTGCCACTGTGGTAAAGTGGGACTGACATCGGAGTTAGGGGGAAACTAAGAGGGGATAAATAATGTATACTGCAATGAAAGAGATGAGGGCGAGAACTGTTTAGGAGGAATATATGATTAGGTATTATTGTCATGACAAGAGTCCAGAATGAAAGCTACATAGTGGAGTAGGGGGACTGAATAACAATGTAATTTTTTTTTTTTACTTGTCAAAGAGAAAAGCGAACTCTGGGGAGAGGTGGGCAGGGAGGAACGTTCGCAACTATGAATGAACGGAAATCCAAAGTCTCTGTAAACTTTCATTAAAATAAATTTAAAAAGAAAAAAATAGCATTTCAAAACTGGGGGAAACAACGGACTACTTAGTTAACAGTATTGGGGTAATTGGCTATCCAAACAGCAGAAGAAATTAGATTTCTATAGGGTACCATTCACATAGGTAAACTACAGGTAGACAAAAGAACTAATGAGAAAGAGAAGAAAACATAGGGTTATTTCATGAATATTATGTTAAAGAGGGTTTTTCTCAAATTGATAAATCTGACATAACAATTTAAAACTCTTGTTCAACAAAAAAAGACAAGCAAAACTCTGAAAAATATTTATAACACACCTAACAAGTAATATTACACTAAAGAACACCTATAAAGCAATAAAATAAACAAATACTTCAATAGTAGAATGGTCACAAACAAGATTAAAAGCAATCCACAGAAGGAAACTGCCAAACATTCACAACTTCTGTGATAACATCGCCACATGTCTACACTGCACCAGTTATTTTCTAAATGCTTGTTGTTGCCGTTATGTGCCATCAAGTCGCCTGCAACTCATAGTGACCTTATGTACAACAGCTCTGAACCCTGCTCTATCCTGAGCCAATTTCATTGTCTCCGACACACCAACCCCATTATCCGAGTCACTGAGTCAATCCATCTCATCTAGGGTCTTCTCTTGCACTATGCCTCCACCCTTGCAAACATGATGTGCCTTTCCAAGGACTGGTCTTTCCTGGCAGCATGCCCAAAGTGTCAGAGGGAGCGTCAAACTCCTAGCCTCCAAGGAGCAGCCTTGTTTCACCCTCTCCAAGGCGGACCTGTTTGTTTTCTTAGCAGTCATGGTATATTCAATACTCTTCTCGGCTCAACTCAAAGGCATCGATTCTTCTAAATGCTTAGATCCCAATTAATTTTCAAAGGAGCTCTGCTGGCCTAGTGGTAAAATGCTGCCATCCCAAAGGCATGTGGTTCCAACCCATCGGCTGCTCTCTGGGAGGAAGATGTGCAATCTCCTATGTGATTTACTGCCTCTGAAAACCTGCTGGAGGGTCAGCTATGGGTTAGTTCCGACTCGATGGTACACAACAAATGCTCAGATATCAATCAATTAATTTAATTTTCTCTATAGCCCTATGAGATGAGTACCACAATAGGTACTATTATGCCTATTTTCAGTTGTTGAAACAGGTGTCAAAATAAATATCCATAGTTACTGGGTTGCTTCCAACTCACAGAGACTCACAAGACAGAAGGAAATTGTCCATAGGTTTCCAGGACTGTAAATCATTATGGAAGCGAACTGACTCATCTTTCTCCCAAGGTGTAGCTGGAAGGTTTGAACCAGCAATCTTTGGGTTAGCAGCTTAACGCCATAATCAAAGCATCACCAGAGCTCCTGAAATTGAGGCGGAGGTTATTTACGTTGCTCAGTGACACACAAGCAGGGGTGCAGCACTGGGATTCCAAAGCAGGGAGTACAGCTATAGCCTAGCCCAAGCTCGAAAATACAACCCTCACTCTTCCAGGAATCTAGAAATCAAGGGAAATGCACACTTAATGGACCAAAAAGCCAAAGCCTCTGCCATGAAGTAGATCCTGACTCATGGTTACCCCAGGGGACAGTTACTGTTGTTAATATACTGTCCTCTAGTTGGAACCAACTCATAGCTGGCCCTTCAGAGGGTTTTCACAGGCTGAAAACTGCTGGAGAGGACACTGCCCATCTTTTTTCTGAGGAGTAGCTAGAGGATTTGAACTGCGTGACTTTGTGTTGGCAACAGAGTTTTTTAACACTAGGCCACCACAGCTCCCTGGAAGACAGAGAAGAAGCAAACATAGTGTTCCCAAGGCTGTAAATCTCTAGACATCAGAATAAAAGGCATCATTTATGGTCCAAATTTGCAGAAATAAAGAAACTGACATTGTGGATATGGATATACGAGAATGACAATATTGCTGTGGTGAGGATATATTGGAGTTCTTCAGCTGCTGTTATAAAACTATTCTTACAGAAACAGATACTCTGAAAGCTTTAGAAAGAAACTACACTTAATGAAAGGCAGCCAACAGTCAAGTTTCTTACTGTAACATTAATTCTAAAGGTACCAGCAAATCCTAAAACTCTTTTCCTTTTCTTTTTTAATCCTCTGATGTCAATAAAGGCTATGAGAGGGTGAGTAATCCACTGCTCCCACATTAATGTTTTTATGTGGCTGTTTCCCTTGCACTTTAAGATTTGTCAGCATGGGTCAAACTTTCCCTGAAAGCCTGCTTCTAGGTGTATTATTAATGTCCTCACTGAATTGGTTCATTCACTTCTCCTTTTAGTAAGTGACTGACATAGGTTCACTTTCTATTATTGTCCTTATCTCTCACTCAGCCTCTTTCTGAACAAGTTCAAGAGCCAAGCCCGAAACCTTCTCCTTGTTCAGGATTCATTAAAAAGGCCCTGCTTTATTTCTAGTAATGAGATGAGTGCAATCAGACCAAAGAATTCCTGTGAAATCTCTCAACTCTTCATAGTTCTCGTTTACTATCTGCATACATGTTGGAAAACAAATTACTTATGGGAAAAATACAATCCATGTTAGAGCTTTTTTCACCCCCTCAGAGCTTTTCTGACACTGCCGTCATCCCTAATTACTTAAACGGTTTATTATGAAAAGAAAGGTACACTTCTAAAAAAGGACTGTTACTAAACTTCACTATATAAAAGCACTGAAAGTTTAACATGAAGGGTAATAAGGTATCAAGGTGATTGTGTTGTTTTAAAAGGAGATCAAGTAAGTTACCATTTTAAAAAATGTCCTTTATATACCCAAGAGGGAGCTCTGTAGTTACGCTGCTGACCCAAAGGCAGTACCTCTCTGGAAGTTCAAATACACCAGCAGCTCCTTGGGGGAGTTGGTTCTGACTCGAGGACAGTATATTAACAACAGTAACTCTGTCCCCTGGGGTAACCATGAGTCAGGATCTACTTCATGGCAGACGCTTTGGCTTTTTGGTCCATTAAGTGTGCATTTCCCTTGATTTTTAGATTCCTGGATGAGCGGTGGTCGTATTTTCAAGCCTGGACTAGGCTATAGATTTACAAGAGATTTACAGCCTCCTGAACACTCACTCACTGGAGGGCCGGTTATGAGTCAGTTCCAACGAGATGGCAGTAAATTTGAGGTGTTTTTATGGATACACCCAAAACTTCCTGTACCTTTCACCCATTTCTGGTGTCATAAAAATGACCACCACCTTGTTTGCTGATTGTGATCGAGGAGTTCAAATTAGCAGGAACGAAGTGGATGCTGAGAAAGTACCAGGTGCAGCTCAGAGAACAGCGCTGGACTAAGTGTCCAGGGAGGGAGCAGAGCCCTAAAGTGACCACTGCGTTTGCAGTGAGCGAGCACCAGAAGCCTCGTCCACACTGTATGGCTTGGATATAAGAAGAGATTAAGGTCAGCAGGAATATGGACAACTGGAACACCTAAGAATGCGCTATTTCCCACCACCCTGCAGCCTATAGCGACTGACCAACATGGCATGAAAGCACGAGGCTTCGTCCCTGCAACAGCAGCATCCCAGCAGGTCAACACCCCCGTTCTGGGTCCGACCAGGCCCTCAGGTCAGCTCCCTGCTGGACAGCACCGACCAGCAAGCAGAAACCTTTGCTGTAAGTCCCGGGGCAAATCCAGGGCGACCAGAGCCGCTTACACACAGTTTGCTCCGGGTCCCCAGCTTTCTGGGAAGAGGACGGAGGGGCCAGGGGTCAAGAGGCCAGCGCCACCCAGAGCGTCCAAGGGCCCAGTGAGGGTGCCGGGGAAGCCACAAGTGAGCACGAGAAGTTGGGGAGACAGGACAGGGGCTGGGGGGGCGGGGGGCACCGAGCTGACCACGGCCACACGGGTGTCCCGCACAAGGTCACTCGCTCCAAGCCACTTTCCCCGGCTCCCCCGTGGACTTCCCGCCCACGAGGCTCCCGGGGTTCGGGGAGCCCACTCGCCCCTCTCGTGCGGGCCGCAGCCCCTGCCCGATCTCAGGGTCCTCTCGGGCCGGAGCTCGGAACCGCCGGACCTTCGCCCACACTCGCTTCGGACGCGCGATGCCCCCTCGCAGCCCAGTACTCGGGGTCCTCCGCCTCCACCCCCCCAGCTCCGGCCAACGTCCCCCCTCCGATGCCCGGCCAGCCAGGGGCCCGCGGTGCCGGTCCCGCGCTCGCCCGTCCCGACCCCCTCCCCAGGTGCCCCCTCGGCCCGGGTCCCTCGCCGCCCGCGGCCCCCGGTCCTCCCGGCCCGCCCCGCCCCGCTCCCGGGCGGATACAGTTTGAAGCCCCTCAGGATCTCCCTGGCCCGCTCGTCCTTGGCTGACATGATGCGGCGGCCGCCGCCCGCGACTCTCACACGCTGGCCCGACGGAGCCTCGCTGACGGAGCCGAGGAGTGGACGGCACAGCCACAGTCCGGCCTGAAGACCTCGGGCGAGCGGCGGCAGTGGCCAGACCCGGACCGGCCTCTCCCTCCCTTCAGCTCCCGCTCCTTATCCCTTCTCCTTCCCCTAGCCTCCGAGGGCCCGCCCTGCAGCCAATGGAAAACCCTCTTCGGAAATTGGCCTCCTGATCAGCCAATAGGAACGCTCAGCGGCTTCGCAGGGGGATGGGGCGCGCCGGTGGGCAGGGCCCTCGGAGGGAAGTCCCTTGGGACACATTTTTTCACTAGGTGATGTTGCCTGGAGTCGGCCCCAGAGGAGACTTGGCCTCGGAGCTACAGAGACTCGAGGGGCCTGCTCCCGCTGCTGGGCACACGAGGGTTCCAAGTTGCACTGTGTGATGTGGCCAAAACTACATTTCCCATCATCCCACGGGCACGCCCGGGGTCCCACAGATCCGATCCCGGCAAGCAACAGAGGCCCGGGGACTACAAGTCCCAGCATTCCCTGCAGTCGGTGCCTCTAACTTAGACTCCAGTGTGCCGCGCACTGTGCGCAAATTCCTAAAGCAACTGGCAGGTCTCTCTGCTCCTGAATCCAGAGACCTGCGGCCGTGCAAGAAGACCTTCTTCACCTTGAATTGATGATGACAGCTCTGAAAGCGTTAACTTCTGTGGACATGAGACTCAGCATTCTCCTGCAAATCATGGTAAGGCTGAAAACAACAAAACAAAACCACGAATTTAAGATGACAGACTAACAAAGTGATTACTCCTTCGAATTGTGCTACTTTGTTGTTCTGGGGCTCCTGCTCTGCGTTGACAGGGACTTCTCGCGGACTGTAATTTCAGAATATGACTACAGGAGAGGGTTTTAGAGAATTTGCTGATCCAACATCTATTCCTTTACATGCGAGGAAATAGGATCAGAGGGGCAGGGAGTGTGACTTTTAAGTCTCAGACCTCAGCGGTAGAGTTAGAATTGGCTCTGCGTCTCTTGACCTGCATCTTGGGCCCTTTGCACCACACTAAGTGGTGAATTTTGGGCAGCTCGGCTATGTGATTGCTAGTTTCTTTAGGAACAGTTTTCCCGTTCAGGGTTGAAACACCTTCAGAAGTGAGGTAATCATTTCATTAGTCTCCCAGAAGTGAAGCAGTCTGATGTGTTTTTATGTTCAGTCGAGGTGAACCTGGAGTTTTGCTTTGTTCTTTGTCAAAGTGACATTTCATGTGATGGCAGAAACTAGGTAAAATTGCTGTGTAAGTCAAGGTTTCCCTGGAGACCTCCTAGCTCCTCTCTTAGGCCTCCCTTCTTCCTCTTCCAAGCCCCCTTTTCACCCATCTGGCACTCACCCAATTTTCTTCCCTGGAATTTAACAAACGTGTCTTCAGCTACAGTCATTTGCCAGGCACTATGTGGGTGAAAGGTGAAAGACATGGCTGCTGCTCCTGGCTGCCACTTGATATTCTAGGTGGAGCTTTAAAAATTCTCTCAGCATGCTGCAGAGGTCCTAATGGGGAGAATGATTTCAAGTAGTGGAGCTTTCTTTAGGGAGAAGTGAAATTTGAGTATGGAGAATGGATTGGATCTTTTTTTCTACTTAAAAAAAACACCCCAAAATACTTTTTTTTTTCCTGACAAAGCAAAGATTTTCACAAGCATATACATCTGTGTGGTCAATCAACCAAATAAAAAGAATATTCCAGTACTGCTTGGCTCCTTTCCAGTCAGAACTGCATCTCTCCATCTGTAGATAGCCTGTATCTGACTTCTGTCACCATGGAATAGTTTGTGTCTGTTTTTTTTTTTTTTAATGTCTTCCAAATGTAATTATAAAGCATAGGATTTTTGGATTTTTTTACTCACCCATGTTATTTTGAAATTCATTTACGTTGGGTGTGGCAGCAGCTGTTTTGTTTGATTTTAGCTGTTGAGTCCTTGAAATAAGAGGTTTGGTGATGCAGTGATTTAGTGTTTGGCTGCTATAAAAAGAATGTAAGCAGCATGAGGACAGGCCAGTCTGACCTCTATTAACTCCACAAGGGAAAACTGCCCCATCAACAGCATCCGCACTACAAAACTAATTCTCCTAAGGTTAGAAATGCACACCACTTTCTACTAATTCCTGTCCTACTGTCCTACAGAATCTGAAATCCATTGCAATAGCTATGACTTATATACAGACTTCACAGAATCATACTTACAAATACGGAGTTTATTAGAGAAGTTTACAGGTTACAATTCAGACTGACAAAAAAATACCATTTCTTAGTCAGGACGGCTTCTGACGTTTGAAGGCCCCTCAGACCTTCAGCCATGCAGCTTTAGGCCAGTGTTACAAAGCTTTCTTAGTCTTGGCAATGAAGGCACATCCCACTATTCTCCAACAGGCTTGTGGGAAGGCTCCTATCTCTGCTCGAATCTTTAGGTCCCTGCCTCGGTGGACCATGTGTTTCTGCAGGGTAGGCAGAATTGAGACAACTGGATCAGATTGGAAGCGTTGTCACAGGGAAGCAGAAAGAGTGAACAGCCCATATGCAGTCCTCTTTATAGGAGCATCAGGGTATAGGCCACGCCCTCAGGGGAACTAAGGGTGACGATTTGAGTCTTGCCTTCTGGTAGGATGGAGTCTCAGGATGTATCCTTCTATTTGCATGTTCTCACCTGTCCATGTGGCAAGACCGAAGACAATGGGCTAGGAAAACCATTCTGAGCAACAGACCCACAGCCCTGCTGCCGCTGACAGAAAGCTGAGTGGTCCAAACCCATTGTCAAAAGATGTGGCAGCTTGATATCAGCCATGGAAACCCTGTAAACTTGTTGAGTCAGGACCAACTCAGTGACTTTGTATTTTTCATTTATTCCATTGCATATCTGTACCAATATTTATCTTCTCTGTTGTTGATGAATGTTTGGATTATCATCAGTTTTGGGCTGTTAGTAACAAAACTGCCATGAATATTTTATATGTCTTTTTGTGGCATATTCATTCATTTATAGGAATGAGGTTGCTGACTTATAGGTTTTACGTATGATTCAACCTTAGTAAATATTTCCAAATAGTTTTCCAGAGTGTACCAATTTGCACCTTTACCAGCAATAGAAAAGAGCTCTCATGTATCTTACTCTTTTCAATATAGAATATTGTCACTCTTTTTAATCTTAGCCGTTGTTGGTGTTGTATGCTGTGAGTCAGAGCAGACTCATAGCTGGTCCTCCATGGGATTTTCAGAGGCTGTAATTCTCAGATTGCCCCTCCTTCTCCTGAGGAGGATCTGGTGGATTTGAACCATATGCCTTTTAGATTGAAGGGCCATTAGACAAATAGTATTATCTTAGTCATAGGCCAATAGTATTATCTCGTGACTTTTTAAAAAACATTATCCTAACGTTGAGCCCCTTTCTATAAACCATTAGAGAACCCTAGTGTCACAGTGATTAAGTACTTGACCCTTAACATGGGTTCATTGGAACCCAACTGCTGTTCTGTTCATAAATTCACGGGCACTCACCAGACTGCACGATGTGGCAGTCAGCTTCTGTAAGACTGGAAGCCTCTGGGGCAGTTCTCCAGGGGTGCGATGAATTGAAAATTGATTTGACAGCAATAGGCTCCTGTTTGTTTACTGGTTATTTGGATGGATGTCCTCTTTTGTGAAATCCCTGTTCAAGCTGCCTCCTTTTTTATGTAGTCTTTTTAGTTCTTTAAATAGTCAGGCTATGGAGTTCTTTGTCTAATAGATGCTTTGCAGCTAACTACAGTGAAGTCTGTTTTGCAGGTTTCAAAAGTTTTCTGACTTTCCGAGTATTGTCTTACATTTCTATTGCTATTAGTGAAAAATAGTTGGCATTTTCCTTCTGACAGGTTTCCACCTAATACAGGTTCTGTCTGTACAGGTTTTATTTTACCTTCTCCAGGTCTCTGGCATTTCCTCCCTTTTGTTCAGGATTCTTCTACGGAGTCTTTGATCAGTATGTTTAGCACTGGCACCATCTAGTTCTGGTCTCATGGCAAAGGAAGTAATTGTTCATGGAGGCAATTCCATGTTGGCTGCACACTCCATGTTGTTGTTGTTATGTGCCATTGAGTTGACTACGTCTCATAGCGACCCTGTGCACAGTATCTCTGAACTCTATCTGGAGCCAGTCTTACTGTCTCTGACACACTTACCCGCATTACCCCAGGATTTTACTTGTGTGTGATCTTAGTGATACATTTGATAATTTTCATACTCTGTTGAATCACCTTTTTTTTGGAATGGAGACAAATATGTATCTCTTCCAGTCAGTTGGCCAAGTAGTTGTCCTTCAGATTTCTTGGCACAGCCCTGTGAGCACTTCCAGGGCTGCATCTGTTTGTTGAGATATGTCAGTTGGTATTCCATCAATTCTTGTTTGCCAGATATTACTCTAAGTTGCACATTCCATGTCTTCCTCTTATTCCTACCTCTTTCTTCCTCTGTTCTAGGTGAATAGAGGCCACTTCTTGTGCCCCGGATGTCTGTTTACAGGCTTTTAAAACCTCAGGCGCTCTGTATCAAATAGGCAGAGCAGAAGCACTAAACATTTAATTAGGCCAGTTAACTGATAAGTCTTGTGAAACCATGACCCCAAACTAAGAAACCAAATTCCACAAGGTGTTTGGTTGTGTATAAGCAGCCTCAGCTGCAGCTCTTTGTGTATATGAGTGTGTTATTATCAATATACCGACCACTACATAGCTTTTGCCAGAACATGCTTGAAAGGGTGGAGGGACAGCCCAGCAGATCCCAGATGAGATGGATTGACACAGTAACTATGGTAATGGGGGTAGTTGTATCAGAGATAGTAAAACTGGCTCAGGATAGGGCAGGGCTCAGAGCTTGATGGCACGTAATAGCACGTAATAGCAACAAAACTTAATGACAGCAATTGCAATAACAACTGTGCAGTGTTAATGAATGCATGATTTCTGTTAGGAAGAGTTCCCTTTCCCTCTCACTCCTGGTGACAACTAATAAACTTTGGAAAGTATATTTTTGTTTTTCTTACCTTTTTAGATAAGTGAGGTCAGACAATATTTGTCCTTTCTTGAGTGACTTCTATTTCTC